CGCACCCCATGGGGTGCGGAAGAGGAGCCTTGGGGATGCGCGGCAGGAGGAGCGGGTTTTTTTTTTTTTTTTTTTGCTTTGACTGTTCGGGCGGGAGCCGAGCAGGTTTTCTTTTTTTTTTGCTTCTGCAAAAATGGTAGAGCCGGCGTGGCAGGGGGTGCGTGCTCAAAATTTTTTTACTGATAGGGGTGCACGATCAAAAAAGTTTGGAGACTGCTCTAGAAAACATGACCCATGAGGGAAGATTGAAAAAATTGAGTTTATTTAATCTGGAGAAGAGAAGACCAAGAGGGGACATGATAACAGTTTTCAAGTACATAAAAGGTTGTTACAAGGAGGAAGGAGAAATATTAAATTAAATTAAATTAATGGAGATATCCCATCTCCTAGAACTGGAAGGGACCTTGAAAGGTCATCAAGTCCAGCCCCCTGCCTTCACTAGCAGGACCAAGTACTGATTTTGCCCCAGATCCCCAAGTGGCCCCCTCAAGGATTGAACTCACAACCCTGTGTTTAGCAAGCCCATGCTCAAACCAATTATTCTCCTTAATGGCTGAGGATAGGACAAGAAGCAGTGGTCTTAAATTGAAGAAAAAGTGGTTTAGGTTGGACATTAGGAAAAACTTCCTAACTGTCAGAAACTGAGAATCAATAAGAAGAGTCAGAGAGGCAACGGCCAAAAAAAGGCAAGAGAGCCATGAAGTCACCTGTGAGCACAGTGTGACCCTGGGAAAAACTGGAGAGCACTTTTGGGTTTGTTGTCTGAAAAGGCTTTGCTGTAAGCTACGAAACTGCTTCTTTTGTTCTGAGCTCCTCCTGTGTTTGGAGAAGCAGGACTTTGCACATTCATTGTAACTAAACAAGACTGCATCAAAGTGAATACCAGACTCCATCAATTTCTACATCCAACTGGAACATCCTCAGGGCCCCAAAATTTGACTAGCCCCTCAGGTCGAAAATGTGCAACAATATTACTTCTGTACCTCACAGGGATACTGTGAGGATAAATTAATTAATGACTGCCAGGTGCTCATATACTATGGGAGCATAGACATACAGACATACTATTTAGCAGGCATCTCTGACCTGTCGGGATCAAACTCGCCAACACTTATGGATTTGTGATTGTAGTGCTGTAGCTGTAAACCACGATGCTCCTCCTTAGTGGCTAAATATTTCCGTTCCAATGTGTCAAGGTATCCTTTTAGTTCCTTTAATACCTTCACCAATAAAAGAGATGTAAATAATGAATGACTTTACTATTTAATTGGACAGAACAATTAACAACACTCTGTGGTCCACAGCAGATGTACAAATAGACAGTTAAATTGTGGGGTATTGATTCAGGTCTTTGCTCAAACAAAACTCATAATAACTTCAATGGCAATTTCCCTGAGTAAGGGCTGCCTTCATGAATAGTTTGGTTTAAGATTTTCAAAGGAGTCTAGGGGATTCAGACACATATTGTCAGTCTCAAACTTCACCTTGGCCTTTTTCATGCCTATAACTTAATTCTGGAATGGAGGAAAGAGTTTAATTTGTTATTAAATATATCTTTCTGAACAACACTGAAAATTTCACCACAATAAATACAGGTCCAATGCCATTTAAAGCACATTTCAATTCCCTGCAATACATGTGAAAAAAATAATTTACCAGACAGCGATCTTGCAAAGGGAAGGCCTCCTGCATTATACATTTAGAAAATTCTTCCACCTTCAATAGAAAATTGGTAGATTGTATTTGGGATTTTAGATTTCATAAAAAAAACCAAGAGCATCAATATTAAGTAAGTATTGAAATAAATCTCTTTCATATTACTTTAGCTTTCAGTTGCTCTGCCTGCTCCTTTAGCATTTGAGACATCTTTTCTCCTTTTGTTGTATTTTGCATCAAGTTAGGATTTAAACAGTGTACTTTTCCTGCTGAATTTGCTGACGGTAATGATGAAATCATTCTCCCAGATTGTAATCCTATAACATAATGAAAATAAAGAGTAAAGTACCAACTGGATTTCTGTATACAGCTTTCCAGATTATTATTCCATTAATCCAGGGGACTGGACTAGATGACCTCTCGAGGTCCCTTCCAGTCCTATGTTTCTATGATTATGGAACAGAATAACAAAGTGCACAATTATGTAAAATAAGGAACCTCTGTTATTTGTATAACCACTATAATTTGAACTACCTGAAAAAGATGCTTGGGACAAACCAAGCAGAGGCTGGATAGGAAGAGTAAGGGGATGAAATATAGACTCTTCAGAAGCTGCACCCATACATCTTGAGTGAATGGAAAGGTTTGGATTAGGAGAAGCTGAATGAGTATATATCTGTTAAAACATACAAAACAATATTTTAAAATAAAAGAACAGCTTTATATATAAAAATATTTACTTGGAATGCTAAAAGGAAACTATTTTAATAGTTTTGTTTTCCCTGTTGCCTCGAAAAGTGCATTTTGTTAAGGGTTCTGTTTGAATAGTTTTCAGACCGAATGTGTTACAAAGTGTGTAGTCTATGTTGACCAAAAAACCTGAATTACAATTTATTGGGGATATAATATCCTTACTGAAACCCTATTAAGATGTGTAATATATACAAAGCTTGAGATACTTATTTTAATACTGTATATCCTTACAGAAGTTGGTTAGAAGGAGTTATTTAAATTACACATAAAAATATGGAATAAATTATTTTTCACTTTTTATTAACATATTGAAAAGTTTCAGAATATCTGTGTTTATTTCCCATAAACACACCAACTTATGAACATGTATGTTTCTAGTTGGCCTATTCTCACTGTATGTGTTTTAGACATCTAGAAGTCTCAAGTTACTTAGCCAAATCTATCTTTAGAGAAGTTCTATAAATAGGAACAACAATATAAAAGGTTGTTTAGTAGAATATACGCTTCATATCAGACCCTTAGAGAGAAAATATACTGTACTAAGAAAAAGCTCTCCTAAACAATGTATCTGATTTTATAATATTCTGGTAGATTTACCTTAGGATCAAACCTCAAATGATCAATACGATTCTGAGCCTCAGCATGTTTTGTCAGCAACTTGCATTAATCCAGAAATAATAAAGAAAAAAAGTATTAATGTGTTGTAATAAGTCTTCCTTATACACTAAGGCCCTGATCCTACAAAGATTTAAGGATGTGCTTAGCTTTACACATGTGAGTAGTCTCAATGACTGAGTCTAAATATGAAAAGTGACCGTTAAATGATCTATTTACAACCAGAATAAAGGAAATCCTAAAATATTGGAACAAATCATTTAAAGGGAATCAGTCAGGTAGCATAGGTGATCCTCAAAGACATTTATAAATCTTAAAGATCCATTGGCAAAATCACCATTGACGTAAATAGGATCTGGGTAAAACACAATATGAAAACAAACCTTTAATTATTTCTTTAAAATATTAAACATTTCAATTAAAATAATTTTGGCGGGATTTAAACATTTTCCTAGCGTATTAGAAACAATGTTTTGCAAGTATGTGAGAATTAAAAAATGAAATTGACTATAACCAATTTCATAATATTTTGAAGGGAAACTTTTAAATTATTAATAATTAAGGTATCACTCTATAACATCATAAAATATGTCAGTTTATGGAAGTTATGGACTGAAAGCCTAATCCTACAATCCTTTACTCGTATAAGTAATTCTTAATTAAATTAGTAGAACCACTGACTTCAGTGGAACCACTTGCATATAGGACTACTCATGATAGGCTCTGATGGACTGTCTCTTTCATTTCCCTTGGCATAAATATTTTATTAAATCCAGGACTGATATCTGAAAAGATCTCATTTACCTCTAGCTGTTGTAAAAGTTCAGGAATTCTCATTTCTTCTTCTTGATTCTTTACTTCAACAGAATCAAAATAATTCATAGTTTCTAAAACATTGTTCACAATTGCTGATTTACCAACCAAATTAGGCGAGAATTTGGTTCTTTTAATTATGGGAGCTGATTTATCACTGTTATTTCTTTTTGGTATTTTGACTTTTGGAGCAACTTTAGAGAAGTCAGGAAGACAATAATTAACTTGGCCTTGACCATATTTGAGTTCATGAGATGAACCTGTTCTTTCAAACAAACCTTTTTGGTGACTGTGATTTTTTCTTATGTTTTGGAAATTATTTGTATCTTCATTTTCAGCTATCAACTGTGAATTTTCTTGTATGCAGTCTTTCTCATCACCATAAGAAGTAGCACTGTTATCTATAACAAATTTATTTTCATCTAGCAAATTTTTATCTTTGTAATCATCTTCAGATATTTCTTCTTGTCTGTTTAAATTATAGTCTTCAAAATGCTCTGTCCATTGTTCTGTTAGTAAAGTGCGCTTGGTGCATTCTGAAATCCTAGTTTTAGTGAGGACGGTTTCATCAACACTTTCAGTAAAGGATGTTTCTGGGATAGTTTCACAATCAATTAATTGGCTTGTGTTTGATAACTCTTCTTTGGAAAAATGACGCAAAAGAACATCAGAAATTTTTGAGTTGGTGAAATGTTCCTTCCTATCTAGGCTGCTAAAAGCTCCAACTGATAATTCTGTCTCCAAAGGCATGCCACTCAGAGGAGCTTCTATTGCCATTTCAATCATTATTCCATTTGTTCTTGTGGCGGGTGTACGGTGGCTGAAGACCTTTTCTTGAGATAGCTGTTGTGTTTCATAATTTATTTCTTCTTTTAAACTTCTGTTAATTTCAGAACAGGTCAAATTTAAGAAATTATCAGAAATGTTTTCTACAGAAACACAGGCTTTCAAATTATTTGATTCATTATTGTGATGATAAGTTCTTTCTAGGTCTCCATCATAAGGTAAGTCTTCTTGCTCCTCATCAGTTGCATCCTCAGGATAGTCAAAGTTATCTAATAATATGTTATTCACTTGTTTTTTCAGATGGTGATGTTGTCTGTTTTTACTTGTCCTAATCTGTATGTCTTGATTATATTCCATTTACATTTCATTGGTCCTCAGCTTTCATGTAGAGCTTTTACTATTGTATGTATCAAGTTCTGTAATACATGAGAAAACTAGCTCACATTTAAATATATCTTACAATATATTAAGTAAAAGCATAAGCATATATCTTAGATCTGATCCTGCAGTCCTTCTCCACACAAACTTCCATAGTCTTCTTCAGTGGGAGACATGTACATAAAGGGCCTGATTTTCCTCTCGGTTACACTGGTATAAATCAGGATCAACTCTATTTAAGTCAATAGAGTTACACAAATATCAAATTATGGGGAAAGGATGTGGCCCCACAGTCTATAATACCAGGTTATTTGTCTTTACTAGTTTGTAAACTGCAGTGTTTACAAACTAAATAAAAATGAATGACGTTAGTAATGGAGCCAAGAACAGTAAAAGCACCTATTTTATGCATAATAAGGGCCAAGATCAGCATAACATGAAGATGGATTTTTCTACACACAGGGTTAGATTCTGTCCTCACTACAGCAGTAAAGGCATCTTAACCAGCCAACTACTCATATAGCAGCAGCGTTGGGAGAAGAAAGAGCAATCTTCAGATGCTGGAATTACACCTTGCTGGCCACTACCGCCAGCACAACTCAGAGCAGTCTGAGTACAGTGCGGTTTGCTATTGGTCACCTTAAGAAAAATAGCTTTTCTAATGAGCTGGAATTCAAAAATTCCTTTAATTTTACACTGAACACTTCATATGAGAACTTATGTGGTTGCTTTCACTTTTATAGATATTATTTTATCAGTATTATTTGAGTGCTGCTAGTGTGTTGTACAAACAGGTGCTGGAAAGGAAGAGAGGAAGTTAGGAGCCATCCCCCACCTTTATAGCCTCACGTAAGTGTTCTAAATGTGTGAGTCTTATACTTCTCAATCACTTATTTTGAAAGGGTTCTGGGCACATGCCAACTCCTCTATTGACTTCTCAAATCATAAGATGACTCTTTCTCTCCCCTCTCTCAGTGGGACTGGGACTCATCAAGTGATCCTCCCCTCTTCCTCTAGCAGCTTGGCCCTTCCAATTCTAAGGCCAAGCCTGACTATGGGTGGGACTTTTAAAGGTACTCAGTGTTGGCGTACTTTTACTCCAATGGTAAAATTTCCAAGACCTTTGACTATAAACTCTTTTGGCCAAGGACCATCTTTTCATTATATGTGCATATGGAGCCCAGCACAATGGGGACCTAATCTTAATAAGAGACCCTAACCATTACTACTATTGTGATACTTTACTAGGAAAGCACTCTTCTACATGCCTCTATAAATAGCAGAATAATGTTGTACACCAAAATAATACGACCCAAAACATATGTCTTCTTCTCCCTTCACACAAGGGACTGTGTTACTGCTGCTTTAAGGAAGGTTTCCAGAGATATTTTGAACCTTTGGGAGCACATATATCATCTATTTGCTAGACACAAAAGACAAATATGGGGAATTAAACAGGTAACTTTTCTTTAGACAAAATGAAATTTACTGTGCAATACAATTTCATTTCTCATCCTTTACTTCACAGAGCATAATGCATTTCTCACACAACTGTACTCACGGATGATCCCAACAAAGTCTCTTTCTTTGAATCCATTCCTGTTCTCTTGTACTTTGTCACATAAAGTACTGTAGATTCTTTCAGTACACTACTCAGCAATCTTCTTAGCCTCACAAAGTGAGGAATGATATTGTATAGCTAATTCTCACACCATATATGAAAGCAACATAAACTTCAGCAGAAATAGAAGGAAACTTACTTCAGTCATTAAAAATGTTGACTTGAAATGAATTGCTGCAATAAGTGGACAAAATCTGAAAAAGCTACAGAATAAATACTCCCTAATACCAATTGTAGGTGAATGGTTACATTTCCTAGACCACTGCTAGAGTTATAGTAGATGCTCTGGAAATTTATACCTAGGTAGGTATTAAATTTTACAGTTCTAAATGCTTTAGTCTACATGTGATACAGGTACTCTGTTTCATAGTGGATGCATTTGGTTACATTGTTGTAACCTTATCTCTAACACAGCCAGGTGAGTACAAGCGCAGTTTCTCAATAAGTGTAACCATATACCTTGCTATTTAATATTACTAATATAATGTTCCAGTCAGTTATGGTTCAATGGTTTCAAAAAGGCCCCACAACACAGCAAACAAACATTTTCTAGTTCTTGGTGGGGACATCAATTAGATATATTGGTTATTCAATGCCATAACTACATTATTTATTTTTGTTTTGTAGATTTCATGTACTTTATATATTAAAATATATATTAAAATATATAAAGTGTTTTTAATTTATATCATCTCATTCTTAGGCCCCAGCCTACAGTGACCCAAGACCAGGAACAAATGTTTGTGGGGGTGCCTAGATTAGCATTTATAATAATTTTAATTAGGAGACAAAAAAACTAATTTGGGTAACAGCAGGACCAAAAACTCTAACCCAGGCAGACTATGGAGGTTTGGAGTCAGCAGCAGGAGGAAAGATGATGAATGTCATAGGGCTAGTCTACACTGGGAATTAACATCAGCATAGCCAGTCTCTCAGTGGGGTGAAAAATCTACACCTATGAGATGTAGCTATGCCAATCTAACGCCTGGTGTAGAAAGCCCTAGGTTAATAGACAAATTCTTCCTTCGACCTAGCTATCTGCTCTCAGCCCTGGTCTATATTACAAATTTATGTCGGTATAACTATGTCGCTCAGCGGTGTGGAAAATCCACACCCATGAGCGACACAATTATACCAACCTAACTCCCGGTGTAGACAGTGCTATGTCAACAGGAGGGCTTCTCTCCTTGATATAGCTATCGTGTCTCAGGGTGGTGGAGTACCTTTGCCAACAGGAGAAGCTCTCCCCATCTGCATAGGTAGTATAAGCATCTTCAATGATGCAGCTTTGTCCCTGCAGTAGACAACTCCTCAGAGAGGTGGATTAATTTAGGTGACCAGATGTCCCGATAAAATCGGGACTATCCCAATATTTAGGTGTTTGTCCTGTGTCCCGACCGATGTTTGGTCAGGACGCAATTTGTCCCGATATTTCACACTCTGGTTGGTTTTTTTTTTTTTTGCTTTGCCGGTAGCCCCCCCCCATATGTCCCAATGTTTTCTTCCTCTCATCTGGTCACCCTAATTAACTGCACCAACAGAACACCTCCTATTGGCATAGGTAGCTGCTACACTGAAGGCTACAGCAGTGCAGCATATCTCCCTCCCCAGAGGGAGAGACATGGGGCCTAAATGACGCCCTCCCCCCGGCAAGCTCCTAACCCCACCCACGGCTAGAGCGTGGAGCGGGATCATTCCTCCGAAATCCAGCTCCCCCACCCATCCCTGGCTGCCCCACCCGAGACGCACACTGACCCTGATCCCCACGTGACCTCCCGTCCTAGAACAGGATCACACTGCCCCACTCAAACCCCAGCCTCCCATTGGCCAGCGTGAATGATGCAGGGCTCCGCTGGGCGTGAGAGAGAGAACTGTGAGGGAACCCTCGACGCATGCGCAGAATGTGCCAGTGGCGGGGGTGGGAAGAGCCGTTGGGTTTCCCTGTCACAGGGGGAGGGAGAGGATATTGGTGTAATAGCTGCAACGAGCAGGGCGCCGGCTATTGGCGGGTTCGAAGTGTGGGGTGCGCGGGGGGCGGGGCAGCGTTTGTTGGCAGCCTCGGGCTCTCCCCTCCCTCCTCGCGCTGCGGCGGCGGGCGCTCTAGGTTTGGTCCATCAGCGAGGTGGGCGGGGGCTGAGGTGCTGCGGGGGTGCGAGGCGAGCGATCGGACCAGAAGGAGGCCGGCGGCTGCAGGCGGCCCCGGTGCTGAGGTGAGGTCCGGCCCGAGGCAGGCGGGAGAGTGGGGCCGCACTCGGCAGAGCGGCCGTATGGGTGAGGGAGGGGGCAGGCCGGGGACGTTGCTGGGGCAATGTGGTGGTGTCGCCTAGAGGGTAGGACTATATCGACTGAGGAGACAACAATATTGGGGGCGCCAGAGGCGCGGTGGGTGACTGAGGGTAACTCGCTGAAGGCGAGGGCAGCTGTGGGGGTTGGCGGGGGGGGGGGCGTTGACCCGTGGGGGGATCAATTATGGAGGGTGGAGGCTGGCTGGAGGGGAGGATGCTGACCTGAGGGGGTCGATCAGGGAAAGGTGATGAATTGTTTCTTGTGATGTATGCCGCCCAATATACCGATGTTCGTACCGGGGGTTGTGCTCATGGGGGCTACTGTTCCCTTGTGGGTTTTCTCTAAGCCCAGCGAGCTGATGATGCTTCTTTCCTCGCTGAGAGAAGCATGCTGGGTTGTTGCTCCCAAAGAAATAATTGCAGTTAACCTCGTTGCACCAACCTTGCAGTTTTGCATCAGTCCTTTCCCAATCGTAACATGGAATCAAACACTGCTCTAGTGGCTGATGAAGGGTTCTCTGTAGTGCAAAGAGATAAAGTGTCAAGGCAAAGCAATTTGGGGCTTTAAAATGATGCAGTGTCACTTGTTTGAATAATTTAACCCATGAAATGTCTTGTTTGTTAGCTGTGTCTGACTTACAATAAATGTGAAAAAATGATAGTGTTTAATTCCCAAATCCAAAGCATAGTGCAGTTGTTTTTAAAGTGCTTTCAGTGTTTTGTGCAGTTGTTTAATATTATATTCTGTTTTACAGAACTATAGCAGCAATCAATTTCTTATAGACCCGAAAACAAACACAGCAAGGGCTTATTGTAGTTTCATTGCTTGGGAGGGAAAATAGTCATTTGCTGTCACCAAACCAACCCTTTTTAAAAAAGAACAGGAGTACTTGTGGCACCTTAGAGACTAAGGATGCATCCAAAGAAGTGGTCTGTAGTCCACGAAAGCTTATGCTCTAATAAATTTGTTAGCCTCTAAGGTGCCACAAGTACTCCTGTTCTTCTTTTTGCGGATACAGACTAACACGGCTGCTACTCTGAAACCTTTTTAAAAAATAATCTTTGAGGGATTAATTTCTTGATTTCTCCAGTGTGAGACAATAACATGATGACATCACATTAAGCATCTTCAGTCCTTACTCTTGCTGGTTGTTTGAATGACAAATAGTCATTAGATCAGGGGAGAAATGAAACAACCAAGATTGTTATTAACTACATCATAAAACTAAAGAGAAGGGAACTATATGAAACAAATTTAAAAACTACATAAGGAGCAAAGTCCATAAACATTTTAATAAATAGAAATGGCAGTTTATACTAGTTCAGGTTGTAGCAGATGTCTCTGACCCTAGACCCTCGCCTCTTAAAAAGGAGATACAGGTACTTGGGAATCCTTGTTTTTTCATTACTCTTCTTTACCACTTTGGCAATGTAGAGCCAAACTTGGACTCCCACCTTCAAGTTGCAGCCCTCGTATTCTTAGAGGTTTCTAGCTCCTGACTGTTAGCTTCTAGCCCCCAAAGATGCATAGATCATGTATCTTGGGGTTGCCATGGAGAGCCAGGCAACCATTTCAGAATTCTGATGGACCTGCCAACTCTTACATCACAAAAGGGACAGTATAAGATTACCCTAATTAAAAAAAATGGTAAGGAAACATGTTGTGCACATTTTGGCCTTCTCATGTCTCCTTGGATCCTTAGGCTTCTCCTCTTATGTATCTCCATGGTAGTTCTTTGCCGAACACCTCACTGGGAGAGGACATCACTACCTATAGGTTCCGGAAACACCTTTTGTATTTCTCCTTAAAGAGAAGGCTTTCACTCTCTCCAGAGGTACTGCATGATACACACACCCATAAAACAAGATCTATTAAATATAGAGAATCAGATACAAATAAGTAGTTCATAGAATCACAGAACTGAAAGGGACCTTGAGAGGTCATCTAGTCCAGTTCCCTGCACTCAAGGCAGGACTAAGTATTATCTAGACCATCCCTGCCAGGTGTTTGTCCAACCTGCTATTAAAAATCCCCAATGATGGAGATTCCACAACCTCCCTAGGCAATTTATTCCAGTGCTTAACCACTCTGACAGTTAGGAAGTTTTTCCTAATGTCCAACCTAAACCACCCTTGGTGCAATTTAAGCCCATTGCTTCTTGTCCTAGCCTCAGAGGTTAAGAACAATAACAGAGGTTAAGAAGAATGAAATATGTTAGGTAAAAACTTTGCAAATGCCCAAACAGGCTTCTCTTAGCTTTGTTACAGAGAAGAAAAGAATCTACATGCCTAAAAAGCAGGTCTCATCTCATGCACTCCTCCCCACACTCCAGTCAAAGTTACAGCTTCTTGCTCCTGTGTCCAGAATGATCTCTAGTGTCAGTCTTGAACCTACTTATTATTTCCTGTTGATCCAGCACACCCCATTTTCTTAACTAGTTTTTTTTCCAGATCTGTATCACACAGTAGAAGTTTGGGAATGCAGCTGCTCCCCCACCCTTCAGGAAATGGCCTACTGGGGAGAAGATAGCCCTCTTCAGATGATTACTACTTGCCTTTAAAATGCTTCGCTACTGGACTCTAGTACAGCTTTCCACAGATCCTTGTGTCTGGTTGCATCCAGTTTATCCAGTTCTTTTTCTTAAACATTTTGTTTCAATTTTCCTTTGCCATGAAATATAAATTATGGATAGACTCTAGACCCTCTATCACAATATTTTTCCCTTTTAGTCAATTTTACTTTGTGCACTTGACAGCAGTTGTGGTTCAGCCAGTTTCACTCTTTCCTCTATATAATCCTGTAGGCCCTGATCCTAAAATCACACATATATTTATCTTTAAGTACCTGAATAGCATCAGTCTTCTTAATCGGACTACTTGTATTCTTAAAGTTAAGCATGTGTAAATATTTGCCAGACTGGTACCTTTGTCATTTTTTTCTTTGCTGGAAAGATGATTGTAAACATAAAAATTCCTGACAAAACTTCTAAAGAAAAATAAAATTCAGGCTATATTACTTAAAATTTGCTTTAATTTCTTTTTAAAAGTTCAAGTTCAGTGTCACTGCTAAGGGACGCTATCTTTCAGAAAGAAATGTCAATTTAAAAATCATTTACCTATTATTCTTATGAGTAACACACAGAAATCCTATAAATGAAAGATTAGAGACAGTGTTTCTGAAGTTTTTCCTGTTTTTTTCCTCTGTGCATTTGATACTACTTCTACATTTGTATGTACTATTGTCTCTGTATAGTCATTCTATTTATGAAAGACCTATATAAACAGGAAGAAAATATTTAAAAAAGATAAAGTCCCACAAAAACTTGAACAGGCATAATATCTGAAAATATTTTTTTAACTGATTGGCTTGATGGTATCCCTCTCTTACAAACTAGTGTTTGTTTTTTGTTTTGTTTTTGTTTTCCAGTTTTTCCTTTTAGTTGATAAACGTGTAAGTAATACTAGTGGCAGAATATAGTTTTATTTCCTTGTTTTTGTTCTGAGTTAGTACACTTTAAGTTTCTGGGTTCTAAGGCTCCAGATTTCCAACATATAAAATCTGAATACTGATAATATTTTGCTTAATAAAGGCTGTGTTTCTGCTCAACTGAAATATCCTACTCTTGCTTAAGCTGATCAAGCTTTGAAAAGTTATTTTGGCATATCTGGGTGAGAACTAGCTAAAATTCCCCTTCTGTTGCGTCTATTTGGGCCAAAATCTAGTCTTGCTTTATCACTAGTGCCAGAGGAAAGAAAATACCAGTGCCTACTTACAGTATTAAGTAACCTTTTACAGCTATTCAGTATGATGTGAGGATCCTGAGGTATACTTCACTTGATCACCTTCAGCTCTAATGTTCCTGTGTTATGTTACATTTCAGAGTAGCAGCCGTGTTAGTCTGTATCCGCAAAAAGAACAGGAGTACTTGTGGCACCTTAGAGACTAACAAATTTATTAGAACATAAGCTTTCGTGGGCTACTGCCCACTTCTTCAGATGCATATAGAGTGGAACATATATTGAGGAGATATATATACACACATACAGAGAGCATGAACAGGTGGGAGTTGTCTTACCAACTCTGAGAGGCCAATTAAGTAAGAGAAACATTTTTTTTTGAAGTGATAATCAAGCTAGCCCAGTACAGACAGTTTGATAAGAAGTGTGAGAATACTTACCAGGGAAGATAGATTCAATGTTTGT